TCCCTTACACGGACAAAAGAAAATACTCTTTTGCCTAAACCAATTATAAGCACAAGACTCCCCCAAGAGCTTAGAGTAGATATAATTATCTATTGCTTTTCTTAATCTGACCTTTTTTATAAGACTTCCTTTTAATGTGAAACTTAATGCTGAAATTATATTGCATTCTGGTAGACAGAGTCATTTATATAGCAAAGATAGACAATGAACTTCAGCCCTCTGATAAAAAGCAAAAGTGGAAATTAAGGTATCTGATCTGTAGCATATGAACAAAGACATAGGGAGGAAAATAAAATATTCTCCGGACTTCAGTTTAGAAAAAGGGAGGACAGATTACTATGGCCTGTACGTGGAATACCCAGACATCATATCTATAGTGAGTTATACAGGGTTTCTGCATTTGTCACACTCTATCTATAAAAGCCCTCCCAAGCAGTCAGGTGCCTGGACATGAGCCGAGATGGTCATCTGTGTGAACACCTACCAGAGGTGTCAACTCAAAATAAAGCAGGGCAAGAACAGCCTTGCTCACTCAGACGTGTTCAGGAAGGCAGCAGTGGGTAATGCACACGCTGCTTTCATAAGAAAGGTAGAGCACTTGAAACGGCCCTTCTTTAGCTCTCTTACCTTCACTTTCCAGCCCCGTGAAACTCCATTTCTCATCTCTCCTGCACTCGGAGCAAGTTTCAACACGAAAGACAGAGAGCCATGTCACGCACTCAGAGCCTGTCACTCTTCTGGCCTGAAAATCGCCCCAACTGAAGCATGAAATTGGTGTCCCTCTCTTAAGCATGCTCTGAACCCACTAGGGTGCAGTGGATGGGCAGTGTCATCTTTTCCCTTCTTTTAGGGAAGCTAGTCCTCCCTTTCTGATAAGGGCATGCTAAACTGACAGGAGATTTTCGTGAGTCCTCCTCTTTCTTTTCAGCTAGCAGAAATTGAGCCCACTAGCCGCAGTGCATAAATCTGCTCATATGCCCCACATTGAATGATGCCTAAGCCTCAGCTGTGGATCCCGCTCCTGGACCTACCCAGCTAAAAGTCAGATGATGCTGTCCAAACCCAGTTGGTGGATCTGTTTGCCTGCACCTCCGTGATGAGAAAGGACAATCCAGCAAGACAACTGCTATTCAGAATTCAAAGTGAAGCACCACTTTGTTATAACAACAACTGTAGTCTCTAATTAGGTGCATGTACTAAACAAAATTCACATGTATCAAAAAAACCAGTGATCAAATACTTCTTTTCAGACAACAAATAAAACCTCTGGGAAACACTCATTAGTTCAAAAACCTTCTGCTCAAATAAGAGGCTTTTCTAAAAACAACAAACATTAAAAAAAAAAGAAGAAAACGAACAAGATCAGATCTCCCAAGACTTCATCCGCATGTACTCACTGGCAGGCCAAGCCTCTGGCTCTGCCTGACAAGAACTACTTTTAATAACATGAAGAAATGAAGGGGGAAGGTGCAGAGCAGCTACATCAATTACAAAAGAGGAACACCAGCCTTCACAGAAAAATTGATGGATCTTCTGTTTCCATAGGGTCATGATTTCCTCCCAGTTGTTCATGCTGCACACAAGTCCAGTGGGTGGCAGGAACATACTTCATGCCCCACTCACCCACACTCAACCTGCCTCAGTCAAGAGCTACACACACACTCTCTACAGTCACTAATGTGCTTTATGAGCCACTCCAACACTAACATGAACTACAGATCATTAGATCAAGGATGCTGCCCCTCATCCCTGTCCCTGATGTGACCTTTTATGACCCGTTTATGTAGTTGTGGGCAACAGAAACAAGGTGTGTTGCTGGTACAAAGAATGCTGAAAGCCGCTGCTGCTGCTCTGGTATGTCAATGAAGCTTTGTAAAGTGCATGCCCATATTCACAGCCTTATGATACCAGCCAAGGCTGAAATCTGCTACTGTGAGGCAATACTAATTTTTATCTTAAAAAAAAAGAGTCAAGGAATCCACAAACATGGCTGCGGTGCTGCCTGGGACTTAAGATGCAGTTCCTGCCTCACAGGGATGTACCAGGTAAGCTGTTGAGGCTCTTAAATAATTCTGTCCACACTCAGATGGTGTGTAGGGGGGGGTGTGGATGTGAAAAAAAAAATCCCTAAATGTTCATCTTCTCCAGGCCATGCAACTCATTACTGTATGTAACAAGGACTTCAGAGCCCTGAGATATACATACCATTTCCTTGAATGCACTTTCTATGGCCCCAATAACCAGGCACTCATGTGGGATTTTCTTCTCAGTGAAGAAGCGTGTTGGAGGGGTGCTGGGCGAGCCTGGGGCTCCCACACCACCACGCAGGGAGGCTGCCCGTGTCAGTGTCCTGCTGTTGGTGGCCGGGTTATCGGGCTCCTCTCCCAGGCAGGTGGGCGGGAGGACGGCTGTGTTCCTCAGGATGTCCACGATCTCCTGCAGCTGCTCCAGGATATGGTGCTGCAGCAGTTTGGAAGCGACCACAGCTGCCCCCGACCCTGCGTGTCCATCAAACAGGGACCAGTAGTACAGGTTGATCCCATCTGTGTCCTGGAGAAGCAGGAGGGGAAGAAAAGGAAGGAAAAGAGATGGTCACCATTACACAGCCACGAGTAAGGTGATGGAGCAGCCAGTGGCACAGGGGCAACAGGTAAAACACAGGTAACTTTCCCAGAGGTAACCTTCTTTCTGAAATGGAGAAATACCCACTGTGTTAGTACAGCTCTGGCAGGAAGGAGAGATGCTTATTTTTGCCATACACTCCCACCATTTCTTTTTCTTTTCCTTAATCCCCTCAAAAAAAAAAAAAAAAAGAAAAAAAAAAAGGCTGAACTTGCAATCTTTCTTACCTTACAGCCATCATAGGATGCACTGACCAAGCACAGCTACCACTGTAAGACTGAGCCAATTTCCTAATGACTGTGTAGATCAGAAAAAAAGCCTTTGAAAAATCACATCATTGATAAATGATGGACCTACCACCATGGAGACCAAAATTCTATGCAAGACAGCACCTGATACTTCTGTGACAGACCTTTTTTTTCACTAGGCATGAGATGAAGGACCTCAGTTTGACATCTAGTAACAAGACATGATCCTCACTTCCATGACTGGTAGATAAGGCCCGTCCATGCTGGCAGATGGGACAGCTTAGGCTTTCCCTGCCTGTGCCAGCCCAGGAACCAGCGCAGCACAGAGGTCCTCAAGGATGGCAGACAAGTGGGATCAGCTGCACTCCACCCATGCTAGCCCACACGTTCACTGCTTAGCTCTTCCCAGTCCTCTGAAGTTTCCTGTACAGTACTGGAGTTACATACCATCTGATCAGAAGAGGTATGCAAGTGTTTTGGTAGAGCTCTCGGCATAATAGTATGCTTTTAGATCTTGTATCTTAGCTCAACTCCCAGCAAGCCGGTCAGCACAACTGCTCTCATGGAGGCAGAGTATCCAGAAAAAGTAAATTTTGTAGACCTCATTATTAAAATTAAGGTATATATGTGGTAATGTTATATATTTGTTCAGCAGTTATTGATCAATGATGTGATTTGCAAACATTTCTCCCTTTTTGCTCCACACAGTCTCCTCTGACAGGTGTAAGTCAGCTCCACTATTGCTCCGATTTCAGCAGAGGCCATGTTTTTTGTGGTGGGTTGCCCTATCACTCAGATAGGGCCCATTAACCCAGGGCTGGAGGCAGACTAAGTTCTGGGCAGCATAAGCTCCCATCTACCTGAAAAATACCAAGGAGCCATACTGTAGATAACCTCAACTTTTTGGGGGAGGAAATTCACCTAGAAATCCTCAGGAAAGCATTTAAGGCATAACAATACCTGTCTTTGCATGAGAACATATTTGGCAGCAACATGGGGAAAGAAAAGTCTTTCCAGTCTCTCCTTTCCCCTCTATTTCTTCTTAATCCTGTACCTTCTCCCAGCTATGCTGAAACAACTGTTTGTGGGGCTGCCCTGCAAGTCAGATGTGGGTGGACTAATACAGATTTAAAAATAAATCATTTTGCAAGGGACAGGAATCGGGCAATACTGTTGCAAAACACTTCATCCTAAGAAAGCATAACCTAGATCTCACTGCAGTCAAAGAGCTTAAAAATTGTATCTGCATGTCACGCTGACTGTGGTCTAATTTAGGATGACAGACATGATTTGTTTCATTCACCTGAACACTGCTCCTTTACACAACAGATCAGCATATAGTCTAGGCACCACCTGCATCCCATCATCTCATGCCCAAAGCACTGCTTATTTCAAACTTATGGACAGGGCTGTGAACTGCAGCTCCTTTTACTTTCTGCTGTTCTGGCTGCTCCACAAAGGTGCCAACCACTGGCTGTAGGATATGGCAGACAGGTTGAAGTAAGAACACCATGAATTGTCATTTACAGATCCAAAAGACATCATTCATTGTTGCCCCAAAGCTACAAAATCCTAAATTTAATGCAAAATGTCTCTTTTAGCAACATGTATATAGACTATCACTACAAGTTCATGCTGTTCAAAGGGCAGAATTCATTCCTGAACAAGCATTATTGCTTATAACTTACTTTGTCGAAACGCACATTTAAAAGTCTTGATTATAAAAGTTACATAAAAGGTTTTTTGTTTTTCTGGGTTTTTTTTGTTTTTTTTTTTTAAAAAAAACAAAAAAAGTGCTTAGAGCACTGCTACTGTAGGAAAGTTCAAACATATTCTTAACCAGTGCATTAACAATATAGTCATCTACACAGTGGAGAGCTCCTTCAAGAGAAGGAATTCAGCAGTCTATTGTGCACCTTCATTTCATTACTGAAATGCTGAGAAAAGGGAGTATTGTTCTATAGTACTGGACTACTTACCACAGTAAGGATCATACAGGATACATCCTATAATGGTGGAAAAACCAACAAATGTACACATTTCCGAATGTGGCTCCTTAGCCAGACCCACTCACTTACCCAGTCTGGTAGATTCACCAAAAAACCTGTTGTGAAACTTCACCCCTGAAGGCATGACTGGCAGTTGTGCTAGCTTGCTCTGGGCTCAGAATCCCTCCAAGTTCACACAACAGTTGGCTGTAAAATTCTGCTTAAGCCATTTATAACGGATAACAGGATTACTGACTAAAAAACCTATTTGTAAAAATAGATTGCTATTCATGCAAAATGTAAAGTAGTTTGCCAACAGAAACAAGTATCCCAAAGTGAAAGTATTTCAGCTAAAAACTGAAACCATTTATTCAAAATGGCAACACTGTGCCTCCTGGGAGCTGTAGATCAAACTACTTCTGCTGCCATTCTTCTCTTAGGGTTTGGCTGCCTGGCCAAAATCCACCTCATGATGCACCATGGATAATGCTTCCACAGCTTATGTCCTCATGTCATTTGAAAGGTGCTACTCCTTTGGAGATGTGCTGCCTTTGAGGGGAGCCCAAAATTTTCCTCTAAGCCAATGGGCAGCACAAATTGGGACAGAGAAGCTTACATGGGCCTGAGCTGTTTTCTCAGGCTGTCACTGACACGAACATGGCATGGCCCCATCAGCTATGGTGGCTCTTCTGGAGTTCCCTGATCTTGTCCTTTTTGGACTAGTAATTCTTAAAGAAGAGGGTGTTGCTACAAGTTCGGCTAAGTTCAGACATCTACGTTGCACACCTCCAAGACAGTTCTCTAAATTGCCCTTACACTCAGCAGTGAGGAAGAAAAACCCTGCACATTCAGACTATGCTCATCTCATTCCAAAGTAGATTTATTTCTCCCTATCAACTGCAGAAGTACCCTAGATAACTGAGAGGTCTGTATTATAAGCACATACAATCAAGGGAGATGACTACCACAATGCTGCTCTTACACACACATTCTATGTGAGATGCTCTAGGGCCTTAACTTCAGTTGGAATCTGCAGGCATTTACTGTAACCTAAACATTAGTCTCCAAAAACTTCTATGTATTCCTACAAAGCTTCATTTACTTTTGAACTAGCAAAGAGAGTATAACCATGAATAACCTATTAGCTGTCCAAAAAAGGAAGAAGAAACAAGTCCCTTTCCCCCACGCTGAGAATAAAAATGGCTCCCCTATTTCAAAGAAATGAATTCTCCAAAACCATACCAATTTGATCAGAATTAAATATATGGTGCAAATAAAGCAGTGACTCAGAGAACGAACAAGGGCCGGCAGTCCGGGCACACAGATGAGGAAAAAAAGCACAAAAAGGTCCTTGCTTTTCCTCCCACAGCTGAGATGACCTCCATAGCTGCGAAGCGATTACCTATTTTGGTGCGCATATGCATGGCTGCTCTCTCTCTTTCACATTTGGGAGCTTGAACTTCTTCCCAAAAGTACTGACATTCTGCAAACTCTCAGAGAACAAGACATCTATTTCTATTAGCTCTGGCGGTCTTCTGTCAAAAGCAGTCTTTCAAACATCAATCTCCATTTGTTCTTTTAACTGGACAGAGCCCTCAAGTGGGAGTATGATCGGTCAACACAGTGATTTATTTTAGATTTTCTTTCAAAAGGTTCAGCTTTAACAACATTCTGAATAACTACCAGATACATGAAGAGCAAACAGATCCTTCACTGCACTGACCTTACAATTCATTTCCAGTGTGTACTAGGAAATTTAATAACCTTCAGGCTCCTCAACTGCTGACCTA